AGAGATATGGGTGTAAGAGTTAATGTTCTGCCTATTGTCAATTTTCCCAGCAACATTTCCAACCTTTGTTAAAGGGATTATCTTTCCTTTTTTCCATGAAATCTTTGTCTGTACCTGTGTCTTCAAGAGTTCTACTTATTCTGTCTTCTAGCAGATTGTTTCTGTTTTAATATTTAGATCTTTGATCCTTTTTGATTTTAGTTTAGTGCATGGCGAGAGATATGGGACCAGTTTTAATCTTTGGCATGTAGAAAGTCACTTTTCCAAGCATACGCAAATGCTTGACTTAAGGGTAGAAAATGACAAACTGTGATAAGTGTTAATTTGCTATATTGAACCATAGATGCAAGATTTATAGTTATATAAAAATGAAACAGGGGCCAGGGATGTGCCTCAGCAGCACTGTGCCTACCTGGCAAACATTGGGTCCTGAGTTTGATCTCTGGTACAAAAAAGAAGAAACAAATAAAAATAGTAAATATTCATTTGATAGAGTGATTTTATCCTCAGGGGAGACATTTAAAAGGATTTAGCTCATTGGTGTTGCTGCCTGCCTTGCAAGTGCAAGGTCCCAAGTTGGATCCCAGGTACCAAACAAAAAAACAAAACACCCAAACAAAACATTAAGAGGAAAAAAATGGAAGAATATAAGAAGAAAAAAGATTAGAAGCAAGGCTAAAGACAAATGAAGATTATTCAGTTTTTGGGAAACTGGTAAAGAAGACCAGGAGGGAAAGAGAGAAGGAAAAAAACAACAAAATTAACAACTAAAAATCAATTAAACTAAAAATGGTGTTCATACACATGAAAAAATAAAAACAAACACAAAAATAAAGAAAAAATGAGTTCTCTGTGATTGCAAGCCTGTGGCTATCTTCTGAGGTCTGTGGTTTTGTGGTAGTGTTTAATTCAGGTTGTGCCTCTGCTATTGCAGATAGACAAAGGGGGCAGACAGAGCCCAGATCTCTGCTGGATGATCCCAGCAAGGCTGCAGGGGGATTAGGGTGGGGTTCTGGATAATCCCAGTAAGCCTACAGCAGGATTAGGGTGAATTGCCATTTTTGGTGCTTTCAATCACAAAGCAATTCAGGCTGATCCTGGTCTCTGGTTTTCAGGTTGGGGCCTGAGTTGTTCAGCCTACCAAACTCGGGTGTCTCTTCCTGGCCTAGCCCTGGACATCTCCCGTGATTGTCCTTTCCTAGTCACTATGGGATCTCAACACTGGCAGCCCTGAAATGAAGCCAACCCATGGCTGCTCTGAGTTCCAGGGTCAGTTGGCTCCTCCCTAAAATGGTATCAGGCTAGGCTCCCTCTCCAAGGGACACAGCAGTCACTTGCACTGGAGTCACTCACCAGGTGTTGTAGCACACAACATCCACTGCACCGCCATTCATTAGGTATGTTTCTCACTGGAGGCCTCTGGGTCACCTGCCCTTTGCTGTGTCTTTGTAGGTTCCCCGTCCTCTCTCACTGTGAGCTGTGAGCTGGGGAGAAAGTACAGTTGGCTACCTCTTTTTTCTGCATTGTGGTCTGTCTCTTCATTTTCTTTGTGGACTCCAATTTTCCCCTCAGATCCTTCCTGGGTCCTGGGGATCAACCTCCTTTTCTTCCTCAGGTTGTTATTTTTCAATGTCTGGAATCCAAATCTCAGAACTTCCCAGAAGTCCTTGATGTTTTTCTACCAATTTTTTCTTTTTAATCACTGTAGCTTTGTAGTATAACTTGAAATCCAGGATTGTGATTCCTCCTGCTTAGTTCTTGTCACCCAGGATTGCTTTAGCTGTTCTGAGTCTCTTTTTTGCTGCTGGGGATCAAATTTGGGACCTTGTACTTACGAGGCAGGTTGCAGAACCACTGAGCTAAATCCCTGGCCCCTGGGTCCTTATAAATTTAGAATATTTTTCCTAGTTCTATGAAAAATGCTATTGATATTTTGGTTGGGCTTGGGTTACATGTATATGAGTTTTGCCAGGATGTTGTTCTGATGTTTCTAAAAAATCCAATCTTACATGGATCATTCTAACTTTTCCTCTTATATATCTGTAAATTCTCACAGAAACTTTTCTCCCCCCTTTGCCATCGCTTTGCTTAATGTTCATTTACAGTGCACATTTATAGTAGTATCAGAACTGTTAACTCATATCCTTGTAGGAAATGATCCTCTTACTGCAGTACAGTGCTTATGGACAGTTTGTTTTTGTTTTTACTCCTACATATCCCATGCATTTCCAGAGTTGTTTAGATCTTTACCTTTTCCTCCCTCCTGCTCCTGTTGAGATTGTTTTACACATTTGTCATACATTTAATATACTCTTGTCATGGTCTGTATTCCTTTCTGGGATCCCCTAATGCCTTAAATAATTTTTAAAATTTGTGTGCTTGAGGTTCACTTTTTGTGCTGAATGGGTTTTGGCAAGTAAGTGAAGTCCATTATGGTATAATACAAAAGAATGTCACTGGTCTGACAGTGGTTTATTGGTTTAACCCCTCCCCCTAAACTGCTGGCAGACATTTATCTTTTTACTGGCATTACAGATTTGTCCTTTCCATTAATATAAGGTAATTGGAATCATTTAGAATATAATATTTTCAGAATGACTTATTTTACGCTTTTAAGATTCATCCATTTTTTCTCTGTGGCTTGAGAGCACATTTCTTTTTATCTGTGGATAAGAGTTCATGGTATAGGTATACTGCAGTTTGTTTATCCATTCACCTTTTAAAGGACATCTTGGTTGTTTTAGTCTTGGCATTTAGGGCTTTTTGTACTTTTTCTAATTAAAATATTGTACATCTTTAATTCTTGGCTCATAAACCATTTTCTGGAGTTTAACCTTAAAATAGTCTTAACCAACTATGCACAGAGCATTTGTTTTTATTGGTATAATTTAACATAGTCACAATAGAGCCATAGTTTTTTTTTTTAATCTCACTGCTTGGCAGCTCTGATTTGAATGTGTTGTGTTCCTGCTGCCTTGAACCACTGGTGGTACACACATGACTGTACCATTGGATGGCATGAGACAGTCCCATCTGGTGATACAAGGCATCTGATGGGTCAGTCATGCATGTTCACCAGTGGTTCAAGTCAGTGGGGATGTGTTAGTTTGTATTTTGTAGCATAGTTATTTGTTTACTAGTTTTTGTTCATTACAAAGCCGCAGTGCTTTTTGAAAGCAACAGACTTCTTTTGCTTATTTTTCTAAATGCAGTATTTATTTTTTCTCTACATGTGACTGGGTATTACTTATTAACTTTAATAGAATGGCATTCTGGCAGAAGGGGCAGAAGGGAAGCACCTTGAACTGAAAGTAGACTCACTCACTGGAAAGAATTTCTCTGAGGTAGAGACCTTGGTTTCTGAAAGATGTAATTTTGAAAGTCATGAGAGTCAGAGAACAGGTAGTATTTCAGTCAGGCATTTCAGGTGATGTTTTAGTCAAGTGTTTGATATTATAATAATATAGGACTTCGTGTCTAGTGGTCCTGTTTTAAATCCAGACATTCAGCAAGTATAGTACCAAGTGAGAAGAAAACTAGGAATAGAAGGAAATTTCTCTAATTTGATTAAAAAGTATAAAGAAAAGTTATGCAACATACTTAACAGAAAGCATGAAGCTAGACATGGTGGCACCTGCCTGTAATCCCACAACTCAGGTAGAGGCAGGAGGGTTGTCATGAGTTTGAGGCCAGTGTGGGCTACGTAGTAAGTTCAGGCCCAGCCTGCACTACATGGTAAGACCCTATCTCAAGATCTGATATAAATTGAAGGTGGTAGGATATCTCCCATAATTTTATAGGTCTTCTTTTCCTTATAATCAAATATTTTTTGCTTTACATGTTTTGTATAATATTGTCTACATAAAATTTTATTTATTTTTATTACATGTGCTCAGTTTCCTTGCTTTACCATTTTATGCCCATCAACTGCTTTAAAAATACAGTCTGATAATTATGTTCAGGATCTGACATCATGCCCACATTGTAATTTCCCATTGAGTCTTATAGTTTTGCCCCTTTGTGTACCTGCCTTACCACATGGCTTGGCTGTATAAAACATCTTTGAAAAGTGGGGTGGGTGGGCAACCCACTTTCTGATTCCCCTTCTGTCTCTCTTAGAAGCTTTCTTTCCCTCAATAAAATTTTCTTAAAAAAAAAAAAAGATCTGACAAAATTAGAACATATTGATAAAAATCATGTATAGGAGTTTGGCAGTATTATATACAGCAGAAAATGTATAGAGTATAAACTGATAATTCCATTTTTTAGCTTTGTTGTCCCAGGAACTCTTGAACTCACATGCAGAAATACTCATTGAAGTTAATTTTCTAAATGTGCAAAATTGTAGGCAATGTAAATGTCTTTATAAATGGTACAGACATGCTGTATTTATCCTACAGTGCCCTAAAGCAGTTGCAATGACAAAGCTTGTGATAAATGATCAATACAGTTAGGTCAGTATAATAACAAAAACTGAAATGATACATGTCAAATTCATGATAATATTTACCTGTGGGGGAGGAAGAATCAGAATGAAGCATTACCTTTATCTAAAATTTAATGTCTGTGAATAAAAATAAACATCCAAAATATGAGTAAGGACTCGTTAGGAATATTCCTGAAATTGGAAAAGTTCTGTCACTTTTTGGTCCTTGTCTCTAGGTTTTGGGATTATGATTGATCATTAAATGTTTTTGTGTACTGTTCTAAATTTTATATATTTATTCTGCACAGTGAAATATGTTTTTCCATTCTGGTCAGAAAGCAAATTTTAATTAAAAAAAAAACAATTTCTTATCTCTTCCCCTGCCTTTGGGGGAAGGAATTGGGGTGAATGAATGTCTAATTCCACTTTGGCTAATATTAAAATTGCTAGTGTTTTTTTACCCCTTTCTCTGTTGTACATTTGCCAATTTTATCAAGTTTTTCTATATTTGGTTTTTCAGTGAGATAACTCAGTCTTTTGTCTGAAATCTTACTGCATTTACTTTTCTGTTTAGGTTAAAGAAGAGATGCTATTTGAATCATTAGTTACAAGGAAGACGGTGACAGTGGGAGAAAAGCTCATTTTACCATATAAGCTGGCAGAGGTAGGATTTTCTTTGAAATACGAGCTTTCTGGACATTCTTAGAAGTGTCTGTGTTTTTTTCCTTTAACAAAATGAAAACGATAGTAATAAGAATTGATTAAAATAAGTTCTGTGAATATGGCTTTGAAATTTGAATTTCCACTGACTTGTAAACTTAAAATTTAATGTGATTTTAAGCTATAGGTTTGCCTTTCTTTTTTTTTTTTTGCTACCAGGGATCAAACTCAAAACCTTGCCCTTGTGAAGCAAGTGGTGGCATCACTGAGCTAAATCCCCAGCCCTACGTCTCTCTACAGGCATCTTAATCTCTTTACCATTCTTCTTTAAATTTTTTTGTTTTTGGTCCTGGGGATTGAACTCAGGTCCTTGCGCTTGTGAGGCAGCCAGAGGAACCACTGAGCTAAATCCCCGGCCATCTTTATTTACCATTCTTAAGTTTCATATTTTTAATATGGGAGAGAGAAAGGGTAGGTAGAATAATAAACCAAGAGTATTTGACTTAATTGGCTGTTCCTTCTCAGGACAGTTTCTTCAGTTATGTTCCAGCACATTATACTTAGTTGGTTTACTTTTTTTTTTTATCGTTGGCCACTTTTTCACAGTTCCTTTTGCTTCCCTTTTCTCTTTTGTGTGCCTTCTGAAGAGAAGGGGTATGCTGGCATAGATAGCCTTTGTTTTGTCTTCTCTGTATTTATATTACCCACTCTTGTGGCTTTAACTATCATATGTATGCTGAGACTGCCAGCTGAGATTTGTTTTTATTACTGTGTTACTCAGTTGTAAAGGGTAGGAAACTTAACCGATACATAGTATATAGAGTAATTTTATAAAGTGATAAGAAATAAAATGATGGTAGTTTTAAATTAGGACAGGAATAGAGGTTAAAAGATTCAGACAGAGAAATGAGGAAATGATTGTTTTACTCTAGAGAATTTTTTAAAAGCTGATTTTTTTTTTTTTTGTATTGGGGATTGAACTCAGGTCCTTGTGCTTGCTAGGCAGGCAGCACAACCACTGAGCTAAATCTCCGGCCCTAAAAGTTGATACTGATCCATTTTTCATAAGGGCCTTCTGTCTACCTCCAACTCCTTATTTCTTCTTTTGTCATTCTTTATCATCTTTTACTCTGAGAGCTTCTTTGTAAATAATAAGGCAACTTTTAAGAGCTTTGCTTTTTTAATATATAAAAGTTTGTTGGTTTTATAAAATCAACTTTTTAAAATCAAAAGTTTGTTTATTTTATATTTTCTTTTAGAACCTTTTTCATCACATTGTTATGTTTACATTTTGCCTTTATATTCAACTTTCCTACCTTTCCCTCTCTTCCCTCCTTCCTTGCCTTCTTCCCTCGTAGCATTTCTTCTATCCATTCTTGGATTAAACCCAGGGCCTTTGCACTAAGCTACCTCCCCAGTGCTTTTTATTTTTGTTTCATTTTGAAATAGGGTCTTGCTAAGTTATTAAGTTACCCAGGATGGGCTCACACTTGTGATCCTCTCAGAGTGCCGTGATGGCAGGTGTGCATCACCCTACCCAGCTTGTCTTTATTATTTTTTTAAAGAAGCACTTTGACTGCAATATGAGGAATCAGTTGGGGAAATGTATTAGTGTCTTACACCTGAACAGATTAGCAATTTACTACAAAACAGATTCTTCTTGATGGGTCTTGTGGATTATGATCTTGGGCATAGGTTAGTAGTTCTTAGGGTCTCACTAGGCTAACATCAAGGTGTCAGTCAGATCTTTGATATAATGTGTGAGGTTATCTTCTGAGCTTACAGGCTGTGGACTCACAAGCTGAGGATTCAGTTCTTTGGGATTATATTCCTGAAGTATTTGTATTGCTGGCTTTTAGTTAGGGGCTGCCCTCCACAACTAGAAGTTGCTTGCTGTTTCTTGTTGTGTGGCTGTCTCCACAACATGGCAGTTTACTTCTTCATTGTCAGCAGAACTTCTGATAAAAGGGCCCCAATCCCCTTTAAAGAACATTATCTTAAGTCCAGGCCACCTAGAAATCTACCTTAGATTCACTCTGAAATCAGCTGTTTTAGCCCTTAATTATACCATTAAAAATCCCTTTGCCTTTGTAATGCTACATAAACTAATTACAGGAGGGGAATCCATCATATTTGCAGTTTATACTTAAGGGGAGGAATTCATACAGGGTATAGAAATCTTGGGTGCCATTTTAGAAGGCAAAAGTATGTGCAGAAATAGTGGGCTCAGAGGCTGTATAGTGAGCAGGAAGATGTTTGCTTTGTCTGCAAGGGTAACATTAATAAAAAGAAGAATGAGATGGTAAAATGAATAGGACTTAGCGATATTGAGAATAATAGGATGCAAGAAAGGAAAAGGAAGTATCAAGGATGAGTCCCAGATTTCTGCCTTACACATATGTAGAAATATTGGTGCCTTTCAGGGGTATATGAAACACTGAGTGAGATCTTGCTGGGGGCAGGGTCTCTTTCTTGGTGTCTAGGATTTATTAAATTATGCTAGGCAGCACTGCATGGCAGGGCAAAGGGGCTGGGAGTGTTGCTTGGCAGTTATTAGGTGTTATATTGCTGTATCAGGATTCTGTATGTCTACGTTACTTTATAAAATAGTACTTAAGCAAATAGGTAGATTTTAGTTTTTATTTTTTTAATGGTACTTCTAAGCATATAGGTAGATCTTAGTTTTTATTTTAACTTGAAGGTCTTTTAATTGAGAAGTTTAACCACTATATAAAATTTATTTATTTTAATTTTCCCCCCATTAAGTTTATTGGTACATTTAAAGCAAACAGTACAGTTACATTCATCATTGGGATCCTACATGATATATCTTGGTTCTGATTTTTTTTCCCCATACCCCTGCCCTTACTTCACCCCCTTTACCCTTCCTTATTTACAGAGACTTTGTTTCTATTTTTTCCTTTTTTCACATTTTTTCTTTTCACTTATTTCCTTTCTCCCCCCTGAAATTTATTTTGTTAACGCATGCTAATATTTATTATTGTGTCTTATTCTTATTTAGTTTTAAAATCTTTTACTTTGCTGAATTTGATCAGATTGTCTTCACTCCTTACCTCTCTGGGGATAAATAGTAGTGTTCTAGTACACGGTGTGTATGTTCTACTGTTGCTTTTCTGGGTAGTGTTAAGATACTTATGTTGGTTGGGCCAGGGATTTGGCTCAGTGGCACTGTGCCTGCCAGCACAAGGTCCTGGGTTTGATTCCTGGTACCAGGGGGTAAAAAAAGATACTTATGTTGGTAACATTCCTAAATGTAGAATTCTGGGATCAAATCCTGCTTTTCTCTCAGAACTCTGTAAAGAATTTGTTTATTTTCAAGATTCTAGTGTTGAAGATAATTTGATGCCATTCTTATGTTTCCTCTGTAGATAATTAAATTTTGATTTAGAAACTTGAAACTTACATATATTTTTTTCTTTTTTTCTTAGACAGGGTCTCACTTTGTAACTCAGGCCGGCCTCAAATTGATGTATCCCTGCCTCAGCCTCCTAAGTGCTGAGATTGCAAATTTGTACCACCACACCTTGCTAAACCTCTTAATTGTTGGTATTTTCTCTATACCTCAGAACAGAGATAATAAATGCTTTACTGGTAAAACAAGCTCCAAAATAAATCCATAGATAATAATATGTTAATTATTAGGCTATGTATTCCTCTAAGTGCCAGGACTCAATTCAGTGTCACACAACTTTTTTTTTATAAGTTGAAGTGCTTTCTAGATGAAGAATTTGCTTTAATTAATGGACTTTTCCTGAACAATTTCAGACTTAGCTAATACAGAGAATTTTCGTAAGCTGGTGAGACCTTGAAGTAAAGGAAAAATTTCCTAATTCCATAGTAAAAGAATAGTTGCTTACTTTGCAGCTCAAGTAATTCTAGAGGTTGCAATTTGGAATGTAGTTGTGATGGATTTATATGTGTGTTTTCATGGTGGGAGCAGTAGTCCACAGATACAAATGTCCACTTTTGCCAGATTTTTCTACCTAGAATACAGTATTCCTCTGCATAATAGCTTATAAGGCCATTTGTAAACTTCGCATTATACCTTCTTTTTGAGGGGAGGTATATAGCCTAGCTTTTAGTAAAAATGTTTTGAACTATGTGACCTATATTTTGTTTTTGTTTCATGACAATTTTAGCCTATATTCCCTGAGTTGAACTAAATTAATATATGTAGAAAACTTCAATTGTAAGTTATTGAGAGAAAAATCAGCTTCTAATTTAGGATAGTAGGTTTTGTTTTTTGAATGAAAGCAAAATATTTTTTTACGTTATCTTACTTTACTACCAGTTCCACTTTGCACTTATGCTGTTTATCGTCTTGCAGGCTGTGACAGTGAGGAACTCCATGGCTAAGTCCCTTTATAGTGCCCTGTTTGACTGGATTGTTTTTCGAATTAATCATGCACTTTTGAATAGTAAGGATTTGGAGCACAATACCAAGGTAAAGATACATTGCATTATAATATATTTTCCCTTAAAACTGTTTTAATATTAAAACTGGGTAATACATGTAATTTTTTTGTTTTGTTTTGTTTTTTTGTTTTTTTGAGACAGGGTCTTACTATGTAGTGAGACTGACCTGGAACTCACTGTGTAGCCCAGGCTGGTCTCCAACTCACAGTGATCCTCCTGCCTCAGCCTCCTGAGTGCTGGGATTACAGGCGTGCACCGCCACACCTGGCTAATACATGTAATTTTAAAGTACCTTATTATATGGAGGAGTATATTATCCCCTCCTGTTATTATCTTATTCACAGAAACTTTTGTCTTTTCAGACCTTTTTTCCTTTTTATTTACATGCCAAAGACATGCATATTCACAGCTGCTTTTTATTTATTTTTTTATTACTTTTGTTTTATGAGACAGGGTCTCACTGTGTAGTCCAGGCTGGCCTTGAACTGGTCACGTATCTCAGGCTGGCCTTTTAAACACTGGTGATCTTCCTGCCTCAGCCTCCTGAGTGCTGGGATTATAGGCGTGTGCCACCATGCCTGGCTGCTTTTTAAAATATGCTGTTTGTATTGGCTCAGACTTTTACCTAGTTTCTCTTGAAATACATTCTTTGTCATTGTGTATCTGAATCTCTTAAATTTGTTTCTGGTACTGAATATTGAGCCTAGGTCTTTGGGTATGCTAGGCAAGTTCTTTACCACTGAGCTGCATCCTCAACACATTATTTTTAATAATTTTGTAATATGTACCATTAATACCACATTACATTGAATTATTTTTTATCTTATGAATAATACTGTGGGCCAGGGATTTTGCTCAGTGGTTCTGCCACCTGCCTTGCAAGCATAAGGGCCCAAGTTCGATCCCCGGTACCTCCCCCAAAAATACTGTAACATTTTAAAGTATTTTTGAGCACCTTTCTTTAGGATAAGTTCCTTCTTACTAAATTGCTAATTTTAAGGATACTGTATATGTTTTTTAAAATTTGGCAGCTACTGTTTTAATTGGTTTCTAAAGAGAACTGTAGTACATTAAAGTACTTGTTAACCCTGTTTTACTCTTTTGAATATTGTTATTGTTTGTCTTTTTCCCAATATGAGAACTATCCCACTTTTTGCTATTTGTGCTGTATATTGATGAAAGTTGAGTATCTTCATGTGCTTTTTCTTATTATTTTCTCTAGTATTTCTTCTGTTTTTTTCTTTTATTCCTTTTTAGGAGCTGTTTATTGTGGACATTGTAGAAACTCAGTTTGATATGTATTGCAAAAATTTTCTTTCACAGCTCTCCCCCCACCCCCTTGTGGTATAGGAGATTGGACCCAGGGCCTTTGCACTATTTTATAGCGCTTTTTATATAACTAATAATTTTATATAACTAATAATAACTTTTTTAGCACTCCTTAAATAACTAATTTGCCCAGGCTGGGCTCTACTTTGTGATCTTCCTGTGTCAGCCTCTTAGAGTACTTGGATTATAGGTGTGTACCACCACGCCTTGCTTGTTACTTGACTTTTAAGATGTGTTTATGCAGTGTTTTTTTGTTCTGTGTTTAAAGGTTTTATGCATTTAACTCTCTCATTCCTTTCCTTAACAGTCCTGGCTTTTTATATATTTGTTTTACTAATATGGGAAGGATTCTTCTAGTCCATAATTAGGAAGTTTTCGGTATCATACTTTTAGAATGTAATTTTTTTATGTGTGACTTTTTTCCCATTTGGAAATTTTATTTTTAATATGGCCAGATTATAGTACACATTTAATCATTTCAAGCCCAGTTTTATTTTCTCAATAGCATTTATGGAACATTTTACTTTCTTCAAGTTGGTTAGAAATACCTTCATTATTTAATCCTCATGTTTTAAATGTAAAATTAGTCTTAACATTTCTCATATTTCAAGTAAACCCACAGCTGTTAATTTAAATTATAACCTAATTTATCAAAATGACTTTTAAAAAAAAAGAGTAGGAAAAATTTATCGAGGGAAAGAAAGCTTCTGTCTCAGAGTTAAAAGGGGGGAAAATAGACTTATTTTTTAAGGGCATTCTTTTTCTTTTTAAAGGACTAGACTTAAAATTAATTGAAAATGTCTGTCTTTTAGTACCGACTTAAAAGAAAATCTCTTAAAATTTATCATTCATTGCCGGGCATGGTGGTGAATGCCTGTAATCCCAGCACTCGGGAGGCTGAGGCAGGAGGATCGCTGTGAGTTCGAGACCATCCTGGACTACATAGTGAGTTCCAGGTCAGTCTCAACTATGTAGTGAGACCCTGTCTCAAAAAACCAAAAAAAAAATTAGCATTCATTGTATCATTTTGTCCAGTATTTCTTAGCACCATTGTAGAATAATTGTTTTTATTCAGCCAAAATTGTTCTACCAACTATATTTCAAGAATGGTATTGAGGGATGAAAAGGATGTATTTATATGCATGTATTAGAATTGCTTCTCAGCTTTTCAGCTAAGATCAAGATTAGTATATGCATGTTTAGAGCTGACTGTATAATCCACAGTACAAAGATGAATTCTAGAAGTAAAATATCCAGAAATAGGAAAAATAAACTGCTTAGTCCATTTTGCCAAACAGCTGAACAATTTGAATGTTGTTGCATTTAGGAGGCAGAAACTGAGAATGAGGAAGATTGCTATTTTTTGTTATAGTTCTTTAAAAGCTGTTCAGCATTTTAAACCTTGTATTTTTAAAAATAAGAATTTAATTTTAACTTTAAGAAATTACATGATTGTGCATTTTGTTTGATGCTTAGTCTGGATGAGTCTGGTTAAATACATTTGTTAATTTAGCTCTTCAAGCAGCATTCCATTTTTTGGAATATAGAAGTCAAAGTAGGAAAAATTATATGGTCATCTTGGGATAGCCAGGAGTAACTTAGCTTTGCCAGTTCTTTACTTAAGTACCCTTTTGATTTTTTTCAGAGCTATTGTTGCCATTTCTCCTTGGAATTTAGGGATTTCTAAGTTTAAGAATTTCACAGATTTCTGAAATGAAGATAATAGGCCACTATCTCTGTGGTGTGTATGTTTCTGTAATGTTAATGCTGACATTGGATGTGTTGAAAACTTGGATATATTTTTATAATTAGGATAAGTAAAATGAAAATAAAGAGAGCCAAAATAGTTCTTGATTATATTTCTTTGAACACTGGCCAGAAAAAAATCTCTTTACTGCTGTTGAAGTAAACATATATTACTTACGAATATTATTGAATAAATTAGAGCCTCTTTTTTAACTAAAAATTTTGTTTTTCAGACTTTGTCCATTGGTGTTCTTGATATTTTTGGGTTTGAAGATTATGAAAATAATAGCTTTGAACAGTTCTGTATTAATTTTGCTAATGAACGTTTGCAGCACTACTTTAATCAGCATATTTTTAAGTTGGAGCAAGTGAGTACCTAAATAAAGTATACACTTCCCCTTCACAAATGTGGAGTCATATTGTGATAAGCATTTTAAATCTTGTATTTAAAATAGAAAATACACATATGATCATATTCACATCATTATAAACAAACAGTAAATCAGAGCAGAGTTTTGCAACCATGTCATACAGGAATTTTTTAATAGTTCTCAAGTAGGTTTGTTACTACAACATGCCCCATTTTGAATTCATCTCTGAATTAAAAGAGGGATAGTTTTGATTTGGAGGCTTTTAGGGGGCTGTTGACTTTTAATTGGCTTTGCCATGTGTAATGCTAAATGTACTTGTTTCATTACTTTGGTCTTTTAGGCCTAGGATGGGATATAAGAGCATATTAATAGAATCTTTGTGAGTTTTAAGTTTTCATTAGAATTTTTAGAGTAAAAGTAGGGGGGCTTGCTCTCTCTCTCTCTCTCACACACACACACACACACACACAGACACACACACACACACACACACACAATACAACCATGGACTTTTCTTCAAACTAAGTTGGGTTAGGTTGATTTTATAACCTAGAATTTCTGTTTGTGTATGAGGACACAGGCAACAACAAGGTTCATGACACTCAAGGAAAATGAAATAAATAGACTGCAATAGTTAAGTCTACAAAACGTGGAAGAGAGGTATTCTTTCATCATACTCTGTCATTGGGACTTGTTGCTTTCTGATCTAGGTTTAAGTGCTCTATTTTGCTTAAGGAATGTAACGGCTGGCTAACAGTTGCACTAGAAGTGTTACTCCCAGCAACCTTGATGAATGCTTAAAGTTTTAATACTAGACCCATTAAAAGATAAAACTGTTTATTTAGGACCAGCTAAAACATATGTAAGGTTACTTATCAGGAAAGTGCTGTTTTTGTTCCAGTTTTATATATGATTCCTTAAACCAGTATTCAAATCTTAAACCTCTGGTTCTTTTGTTTTCACTTTTAATCAAAGTCTAAGCTTGAGTTGCTATCTAGAGCTCTTGACTCAGTCTTATTCTCTGTTAATTGGATCATGCTAAATTAGTATCTTTCATCTCTTGCAAAAATCTAAGTGTTGGAGGGGGAGGGGAGTGCATTTTGTTGACTGTGTTCTGTGTTTTCCAGAGCCAAGCCTCAGTTGCTCTGTGCATCATTAAACAGAAGACTAATTAAATTGCTTTTGAAAAAGGACGATGTTCTTTTACTGCAAACTGAAGTTACCCTTTTATTTTCTAGAAATCTAGTTGTATAAGAGCCATAAACATACTGTATACAAATAAAACCTTACATTTTATATAAAATGCATTCAAAATTCTTGGGATTGGGTGATCTCATTTACTTGCTACCCTGGATATCATAATTTAGGATGTTGTAGTTATGTCTTTGCTGTAATTTGTGGAAAGTTGAAAGATCTTACACTTTTTTGTCATCTTGTCTTTTATTCTCTTTCACTTTCTCATGTTTTGGCACTAAAAATCAATTTGCTATTAATGAGAGATTCAGGCCAGTTTAAATACTGAGTGTCCTATATGCATAGCACTGGGTATCCAGTGATTATTTCTTAGGTTCAGTTGATTACAGAATCTCTTAGGAAGGTAAAAGTTAAACCACGAAAAAAAACTTTTAGGAAGAAACTGGAATATTATTTCTATGGTTCAGTTCTAAATCCTGTCTAAAAGGAACATATAGGCACATAGGTTAGGAGAGAGTTGTAATAATAGCTGTGCAGGATGGTAAATGCTACAATTGTGATGAATGAACACTTAACCAAAGGATGCAGTTAATGAGAGCCACCTACAAGTCTGGGTGGGATCCCAGGGATGATTATGGAGTATGGTTTCAAATGGTGAGTTATAATTAACACATTGTCAGCGGGTAAAAGATATTTTAGGCAAAGGGAACAGTATACTGAGGCCTTATATATCATGCAGAGAAGATGCAGATTTTTTTGTCATGGGCACGGGTTATTTGAAATATATTTAGCAAGGGACGTGCATGGGAACTGTGGAAGATGGAATAAAGAGAAATGAAGTAGAGGTGAGGAGATAATCCAAAATAGTCTGACTGTATGGTTCTGAGTCTTGATTTCAATTTAATGTGAGAGATAATGTGATTTAAGAAATAGGCTGAAAGGTTTCTGAGATTTGAAAGCTCCTTTTCTGTTAGCATTTATAATGTTGCCCTCCTTTTTGTTGTTATTTATTTATTTATTTTTGAGACAGGGTCTCACTATATAGTCTAGGCTGGGCTTGAACTCACTGTGTAGCCCAGGCTGGCCTTGAACTTGCCTCAGCCTCCTGAGTACTGGGATTACAGGTGTGTGCCACCATACCTGGCTGTTGCCTTCTTCTTTCCTTTATTTGTTCAGAATTAGCCTTTATACCCTTGGTCTTTCAGTAAATTGAATATTAGTCATGTACCAGGCATTGTGTTAAACATTGAAGATAGAAAATTTAGAGTGCAAACATCTTCTCTGATGAGTTCTTTTTTTTTTGGTGCCGGGGATTGAACTGGGGTCCTTGCGCTTGCAAGGCAGTCCACCGAACCCCTGAGCTAAATCCCCGGCTCTCTGATGAGTTCTTAACCTGCCCAGTATTTGTTTTGCTTATTCTACTTTTGGTTAGTTGAGACTACAAAATTCTTACTAACTTTGCCTTGGAAAACAGGTGGTGCCCCCCTCCCCCATGAGTAAGGGCATAGATGGGTAAAGAGAAAATCTTGATAGGTCAGTCCAGCATTTAGTGATAGTGATGTTTCTTTATTTTTGACAGAAGGTTGCTGATTCTTAATGAGCCAGACCTGAAAGTCTGAGGAACTGAGTAGGGTTTTCTGCTGATTTCAAAAGCAAGGAACTTCAAAAGCCTGTGGTAACTTTGTAGACTTTAGGTTGAGATCCCCCAAAAGGTTAAATGTTAGGATGAAACGTGAGCTGTACGTATAAGGATTGAAGTCCACTTTACATGATCCCAGTTTACCGAATTCAGATCATGTTCTAGTGTTCTCAGACACCACCTGCTTTTTTCAGTATAGGAAAAAATTATCTTCCTGCTTCAATTACCTCTGTTAAAAAAGCAAAAAAGCCACATATGGTGGTGTACACCTGGAATCCAAGCTACTCAGGAGCTGAGGCAGAAGAGTTGTGAGTTCCAGGCCAGCCTGAGAAACTTTGTGAGAGCCTGTTTCAAAATTGAAAAAAGAGAGGGAGGGGGTTGGGGATGTAGCTCAGTGGTAGAATGCCTCTTGGTACAAGCACCAGTACTGTAATCAGTGAGCACAGGTAGATCAATGTGAATAAAAAAACCCAAGAGAATGAGACATTTGGTAGCACCACAGGGGATCCAGGTAATGATATTGACTGACATGGACTCTAACGTAAATACAATTGCAAAAAAAATTTTTGAAAAGAGCAGTACTTGGAGCTAGGCATGGTGGTACATATCTGTAATTGCAGCACTCTGGGAGGATCTCAGGTTCCTGGGTAATTTAGCAACTTAGTGAGACCCTATCTCAAAATAAAAAATGGACGGAGGGGGTCACTTAGTGTGATGGCCTTGGGTTTAATCCTCACAATTACCACCACCACTGCCAAAAACAAAACAAAACCCAGAAAACAAACCCCCAATACTTTTATTACAAACTATTCAAGAAATCCTCATATTTAGAAAAACAGAACCAAAAGTATAGTGAAATTAAGAACATAAGGAAGTTAAGTTCTCAGTGAAAACAGTAGGAGCAAGAAGACAGTAGGATATTTTCCTTAAAACTGAAGCATAAGGGGCCGGGGATTTAGCTCAGCGGTTCGGTGGCCTGTCTTGCAAGTACAAGGACCCAGGTTCAATCCCCGGTACCAAAAAACAAAACAAAACAAAACAAAACAAAAAACTGAAGCATATTATTTAGGCAAGAAAAAAATGAAGAGCGTGAAAATTAAAAGTATGTGATCTAAATTAATTAAATTAGAGATAACGTTTATGGTTTAATGTTTAAATAGAAATAAAATTCATGAAGACAATACTATATAATTAAGTGAAAGAGTAAATGGAATTTAAGGGTTTTTGACATCTTTGCATTAGCTGCCAAATTATAAAACATTTTGTTTCTGTGAGGTATTTAAAAGTTACATATTAACTATTTCTGAATTAGCCACAAAGTGGTAAGAGAATATAAGGGTTAATAAAAAGGGTAACTAAAGCAAAAATAATTCAAGCAACCTTAAAAAAAATTGAGAGAAAAGCATTAAAAAAAAGGTAGGTGTGGTGGTGCCTGCAAAACAGCCTTTGCTAGCTTCATTGAAGAGTAGGCAGCAAGGGTCACTTGTTGAAATCGTAGGCTGATTGTTTCTGTGAGTATCCATTGCTGCTTACTCCTTTAGAGTAGAATGCAGTTTCCCTGGCCTTGTTTCCTAATATCTGATTAGAAAGGATATAAAAAGTAATTTAAAAGCAGTGTATAGTATATACATAGAACAGTGCATCAAAAGCAACAGAATACACATTTTTTTCAAGTTCACAGGGAACATTTACAAAATTTCATATGTTGAACCATAAAGCAAGGGTCACATTTCCAAGACCTGAAGTGATACACATTTGAATACTATAATGAAATTATGGCAGACACCAGTGACTAAAAAAATAACTGGAAAATGCCTGTATGATTAAAAGTTAAGAAATGTACATCTCAATAGCATAGAAGATGGATAAATTAGAATATATTTTGAAGGTCATGTTTAACATATCGTGGGGTATGATTAATGCTGTACTCAGGAGAATTTTATAGCTGTTAGAAGATGTTAATTTTGATTATTAATGATCCTTCCAGTGACTTGGCAGAAGATCAAAAAACTAAACTCAAACAGAAGAGTAGAAAAAATAAAAGATAAAAGAAGAAACTGAATTAAAGTGAAAATAAATATACCTTGGGAAAGGTTCAGTCCAAAAGGAATACTTTGATTAGATAAATTAACACTGCAACCCCTTCAAGAAATTTACAAGGGAGACAGATACACAGGCAGGCAGGTAGACACAGTCAGGAATATAGATGTCCAGAATCTCAGTGGTAAACAGGACATCATTGTGGATCATACATAATGAAAATGTAATAGGACACACCAAACACCTTCATGTCAGCAAATAAGGTTATCAAATGATGCAGAAAAACTTTTTCAAAACTGGCACAGATTAAATAGGAAATCTGATTCTATAGCTATTAAAGAAATTGAATGTATAATTAGAAACCTTTCCATAGAATATTGTAAGCCAAGACAGCCCCTTTACTGAATTCTCCCAATATTGAAAGAAGAGATACTATGTCTGACACAGACTATTTAACATGGGATGACAATTCATAATATATGTCAGGGTCAAAGTAACATTGATACTAAAATCTATCAAGAACATTGATAGAAGTAGAAATTACAGGTAAAATTTACTCATAAACAATTTCTAAACAAATGTTAGTAAACAAAATATGAACAAGATACAAAAAGGTAATATATCAGAACCATGTGGATTTTTTTTTCCGGTTTAGTTTTACACATAAACATGAATTAGTTTAATTCATGTGTTAAAACAAGGAAGAAAAGAATTCTAGACCATCTCAGTAGAATTGTAAAAAACATTTGGTATCCATTTACTTTTTGGTAAGAAAACAAGTTCTTAGGGCCTAATAAGTCTTTCAGGTTTTTTTGTGTTGAATGGTCTCAACTCTCCTGTTAAATTGAGAAACACACAGTTATGTATAGACAATAGATACACAAGTGATTGTGTAGCTGTATAACATCTGCTCTACAGTGATTAAAATGAATGAACTTTCAGGTGCTTCCAAACAAAATGGATGTGACTCTGAAACCTACATTTAGTCAAAGAGTCAAACAAGGGCCAGAGATTTAGCTCAGTGGTACTGCGCCTGCCTTTCAAGTGCAAGGTCCTAAGTTTGATCCCCAGTACCAAAAAAAAGTTTATGGAGCATGTACTGATAAGTTTATTTATTTATTTATTTTTGTTTTTTTGTTTGTTTTGAGACAGGGTCTCACTACGTAATTGAGACTGACCTGAAACTCACTATGTAGCTTAGGCTGATCTCCAACTTACAGCAATCCTCCTGCCTCAGCCTCCCGAGTGCTGGGATTACAGGCTTGCGCTTCATAGGTTTTATTTAGATAATATTTATAAACATGAGTTTTACCAAATACATTAGAAGTTAACATAAGAGTCTGGATGATGATTGGGAAAATCCTAATGCCCTTTCCTACCTGGTGTGTTTTTTACTCATGCTACAAAAAAGAATGTTGAGTGTGGGCTTTCATATTGTGATTTAGTGGCCAAATCAAAATAAGATGGGATTCACAGGGATGAATAAAAGAGTATTTCCCAGCACAGAGAAAGAATAAGAAAAAATGATTGCCTTGTAAGAATATGTTAAATAGTTGCTCTAGACCAGAGCTTTGAGTTTTTAATCTTGGAAATTGCCACCTTTTCATTGACACAAGAAAAATCTCAAAGAATGTATTAATGACTTTATTTTGCTGAAGTAAAAGGTTTATGAGTTCCATTATGTATATCTCTAATCACTGAAGGCGGCAGTTTCCCATTTCTCCCAGAAATTCTATTTCATTAAGTGCAATGATGATTCAACAAATACAGCTCTCTTTGATGTCTTAGAGGTTATGTGTGAGAAATGGAATTCTGACAAAAAAAAATTTTTTTTTGGTAGATGTATTTAAAAAAAAAAACAAACTAATATGTGTTGTACCAAATCTGCTACCCTGCATCCCAACATAATGCCAGACCTTGTGCTTGCCAGGCAGGCCTGGTGCCCCTGAGCTACATCCCTAGCACCATTGTACCAAATTTGTACAACTTGAAATTTTATTTTACATCTTTCTATTATGTGAAGTGGGGATTAGAGGGGGGAAAAAAGCTTAGGCTTTTCGTTTAAGCCTGGTAAAAGCTCTTCAGTCCTTTGCTTTTTTTATTATTTTCTGCAAGATGAATAAATTGTTATTTTGTTATTTGGTTTTTCTAGGAAGAATATAGAACTGAAGGAATCAGCTGGCACAACATAGATTATATTGATAATTCTTGTTGCATAAATCTTATTAGCAAAAAACCAACAGGACTACTCCATCTTCTAGATGAAGAAAGCAAGTGAGTATGATTATTTTCAATTTTGTTATTGGTCATTGGGCTTTTTATGTCTGATATTTAACTTTCTCCTTATATTTTCAAATACAAAGCCAAAAGTTCCTTTGTAGGCAAATTTTTTTATATGTGTACATTTCTAGATAAATAGGGTGGACTTCACTATTGAACTCACTTTTTCCTTCTTGCCACATTTCTTTTACATACTTCAATGTTAAGTTTGTGGATGTATATTTATTTTTTTGGTTGTGTATTCTTGAATTCAGTTCTTTTTGTTTTTTGTTTTTTGGTACCTGGGATCAAACTTGGGTCTTTGCACTTGCGAGGCAGGCGGCGAAACCACTGAGCTAAATCCCTTGGCCCTTGAATTGAGTTTTATTTATGAGATGTACTTGCAGTTCTAATGTTTATCAGAAATGAGTTTCATGATAAATTAGGAATGTTTGTTGTGACTGCACAAGTGGTAAGTGGCAAAATACCAACTTTGCTCTCTCTTAACACTGTTCAGTACCTGACACTTAAATATGAGCCTCCAAAAGCTCTATAGGGCCTCTTCTTGAGTATTTTCTGTGCCAGATAAAATATTATGAATAGTTAAGTTAGCCTACATGATGACAAGTCTAGAATTGGAGAACTGAAATGAAGAGATGGTGTAGATTTTTTTAATGTTTCGAGAAAAATGTTTAGAAATTGAATTAGTTTATCTGATTCCTAGTTTAATTTTATACTTGTTGAGCCAGGATAGAAAATATTGTGTATTTACTATCATGGGTAGAATAACTGCAGATGTATGTGGCAATGACTTTTCCCCCTCAGAAATATCCTAATTTATGTCACCCTATTACTATACCATAAATATACAGAATTGCTGTCTACAAAAAGAAAGTAAGCTGGCAGAAGCTAGGCATGGTGGGGTATACCTATAATCCCACCTTGTTGGGAGGGTCATGAGAGGATTGTAAATTTGAAGTTAACATTAGCAATTTAGTGAGACTTTGTCTTAAAATAAAAATAAAAAGGGGCTGGGGATATAGTTCTCTTGTAGAGCACCCTTATTCTCAAATCCCCTCCCCCCAAAAAGGGAAAAAATAGCAAAGGAGATAGCTAACAGTTATGTTACTATCCATCCCACCCACTCTTAAGTATATTTCTATTAATCTAAATGAATTAAAATGTATTCAACACAAATATTTTAATATTTTGTCCTGAGTTTTATAATTGTTCCTGGCATTACTATCTATACCCAGAAGTACATATTATCTTTACATTATAAAGTTGCCAAATTAGTATTTCCTGCTTCTGCTTTGCTTGCGTATCTTAGTTGTTTTTTTTTTTAATTTGGGAAATCTTAAAAATCATAGGTTATTATGGTATTCTATGTTGAAAATCCTTGTGGTTGGGCTCTTTGTTCAAGGGTTTTGTTTTGTTTTGTTTTGTTTTTGGTACCAGGGATCAAATTCAGGACCTTGCGCTTGCAAGGTCCCTGGCCCTGTTCAAGGTATTTTATAGTAGCAAAAACGTTTAAGCACTTCAAGTAAAAGATGAGGTAGTAAATGGTAGAGTTGAGATTCGTACTCTTCAGGTATTTCTAACTAATAAGCTTGAGCTTTGAAGAATTGTATTAGATTGCTTTCCCATTAATACTTAGGTGTTAGAGTCGGAAGCCTATGGTTCATATCCCATCTCTATTAACTGTACTCCACCAGTCTTAAGTTTTTCTGCATGCAAACAGGAAATGATGATGGTAAATGATGGTGCTGTCTGTGATGGGTTTATTGTAAGGTGTTTGTAAACAGCAGGTCAGGGAGTTGCTATGTAATTAAAACATGAATAGAGCAAGGGGCTCATATCTGTCCTGGAATGCTTTATGCAAAATTTCATCAAGTGTACATTTCATTATACAGAATCTATTTTCATGGCTATTTGTTTCCTCATAGATATAAATTTAGATCGATGAAGATAATGTGATGTCCTTACTGTTACTCAGAAGCTTTTTGGGTTAAGTCAGATGGCCTGACATTATAGAGAGATAAATTTTGGCTCAGTAAAAAGGAAGAACTTTCTAATCATTAGAGCTGATTCTCAGCTGCTTCAAAAAGTAAAATGGTTCATTTTTCTAGTACTTACTTTGCATTGTCTTGAGGCTAATGTTGTAGGTAAGAGACTGGACTAAATAAAGTTTCCCATTAGACAGTGCTGGGATTACAGGTATGTACTGCCACACTCAGTTTAAATAATCTTTTAATTATCCCTTCAATTATGTTTCTGTATTCAATCCTCCATGAAAAAAATTTAATAAAGCATAATAGTTTTTTTCTTATGTCATGAGCCAGTTCTATACCTCTGCTTATAAATAGACCATTTTTTGTCATATAGGAGAGGAAAAATTTCCCTCTTCCCTAAACTGACATTAAGACAAAAGCATATAAATTTTATTAAAATTTTACATATATATGGGAGTCCTCACATGAAAATGAAGACTTGAAGAAGTGACCAGAGCAGAGAAGTTACATACTTTTAGACAAATAAATGGTAACTTTGTGAGTAATATCAAGACAAAAGATTTGGGAGTGAAGTATTATATTGTTGGGAAGTGACTGAGAGATACATTGGAAAAAATTTGTAGAAGAAGGGTTATTTTCGTAAGTTAGTTTGTACAGGCCATTTCATTGGTAATTAGGATGTTCTTAGAACAGGGAGAGGCTCTTTGTGGCCTGTTTTTAGAGAGAAAATAGGTTAGAAGTCTTCATCCTGTTTCTCAGGTGCCTGTGACTCAAAGTAATCAGAAGACCAAGACAGCGTATTTTTTGGTAGCGGGTCCTGAATTCCTTCTGTCTTTTACACTTTAATGTCCCAGAACATGCAAAGGCATGAAGTATTTTTCTCTTGCTGTTTACCTGTAAAAAGAGGTTGAAAATCAGTCACATTTAGGAGAAGCTCTTTTGGGACTCACTTAAACTTAGTATTTCTTCCTAAAAATTGTTCCTATATGGGAAACATATTGTGATATGTTTCCTTAGTGGTCTCTTTTCATGCATTGTGTGTAGTGCTCTGGAAGCTTGAGTTTGGAGTTAAAAGTCTTAATCTTCTATGTGCTGGTGGCTGTGGGATGTTGGGCAGGTTGTTTTAGATTCTGCAAGATGCAGTGTGGTATTTAGGAGGGTGGAATAGTGAAAGCAAAGATTCAGTTAATAAATGGAAATGTTTGCATTGTCACCAATCTTTCTTGTACTTGAAGCTTGATAGAAATACAGGAATCTCAGGCTTTTACCTCATACTTGGTGAATCAGAATTTGAAGTTTACCAGAGATTGAAGTTAAGGTGAAAGCATTTGTTTAGAGTAATATTTTGTCAGTCTGCCTGCTCATGAGAGTTACTTTGCACAGGATATAGAATCAGCACATAAAAATCATTAGTGTTCCTGATATCAGTAATGAACCCACCCATAAGAAATCATGAAAACACTTCCATTCATAGTAGCTTAAAAAGATTAAGTAGGTAGAAATTAACCTAACCAAGAAAGTAAAAACCTCTAATGAAAATCATAGGACTCCAAAGAAAATGAAGAGCACATTAGAAAATGGAAAGACATTTCTTGGTTCTTGGATCAGAAGAATTGAAAGTATTATAATGGTCATATTACTAAACATGATATGTAGATAATGCAATTGTTATTAAATTACCAACAATATTCTTCACAGAACTAGAAAAAACAATCCTAAGATTGATAATGGAATCAGAAAAGACCCAAAATAACCAAAGCAATCATGAGCAGACAGAGCAAAAGTGGAGTTATAACAGTATTGGATTTCAAGTTATACTTGAAAGCTATAGTTTAAAAGAAACAACATGGTACTGGTAAAAATAAAACAAATTTAGATCATTGGTATAGAATAGAAGACACAGAACCCCATGTTTGTGCAGTTGTCTGTTTTTTATTTGTTATTTTTACAAAAGAATCAAAAACATGGACAAAAGACAGACTCTTAACAGATATTGCTGAGAAAAGCAGATACCTACTTGTAGAGGATTGAAACTAGACCCATGTCACTCATCCTATACTAAAACAAAGTAAAACTAGATTAAAGATCTAGTTTGAACTTTGAAACTGTTGGAAGATGACTTAAGGAAAACACTTGAAGCCATAGGCATAGGCAAAGAATTCTGGATAGAAATCCAGTAGCATAGGAAATATCAAGAATCAACAAATGAGACTGCATCAGATTAAAAAGCTTCTACACCATCAGGGAAAAGATGAAGAGAATAAAAGGAGCACTTATATACTGGAAGAAAATTTTTGCTACCTACTCTTCTGATAAAGGACTAATACATATAATATATAACTAATTCATAAAAATTAACTCCCCCATAAAACATGTCCCAATTAAGAAAAAAATGGGCAAATGAACTGAACATTCTTCTTAAAAGAAAAAAGAAGTACAAGTGGCAACTACATGTATGAAAAAATGTTCCACATCTTTAGCCATCGGAGAAATGCAAATCATAACAAACAGCTTTAATCCATCTTACTCCAGACAGAATAGATGTAGTGAAAAAGATGAAAAAATGATGAATGCAGGAAAGGATGTGGGGAAAAAAAGAACCCTTCTACATTGTTAGTGGGAGTGTAAGGAATTATAATTACTATGGAATAAGTATGAAGTTTCATAAAAAAACTAAACATTGAAATTTCAATTTGACTCAGCTGTTCCTTTCCTGGTTATATTCCTAAAAGAATTAAAGTCATCATACCTATGTTTATAGCAGCACAATTCACAATAGCTAAGCTCTGGAAGAAGTCTAGATGCTGAAGAACAGATAAATGGATAAAGAAAAAAAAACCCCATATATATAGCCATAAAGGAGAATGAAATCAAATGTAGGAAAATGGTTGGAATTTGAGACCATCATGCTAAGTGAAATAAATCCAGAAGTAGAACATGAAATATTGCATAGTTTCTCTTAACATGACAAACCTAAAGTATAAATAAATTAGTTAATAAAATAAAGGAGAGATTGTAGGAAACAAGGCTGACTTACTGATCCAGGGAAGGGTGTCAGGGGACCGGAGAATTTGAGAGCTGGGTAAAGGAATCAAAAATGATCAAGATACGTTACATACATGTGGTATTTCCCCCAAATGAACATAAATACTTTTACAAATGTGCACTAATAAAAAAAGAATGAAAAAAAAGAATAAAGTAGGAATTTGGCCGTAAAAGAAAGAAAGAAAGAAAGTAGAATTGCAAAACAAATAGTACAGATGTTAGGTCATACCTGATCAGTTAATTCAAAATCAATAGATAAAATCCAAGCATTGGTAGTTTTGAAAGCTCCAGAGGTTCTTCTAAGGTGGCCTTTGCAGAAAGCCTTTGGGGAAAACTAGATAAGAGTTTTAAAATGAGCAGTAATGTTTGATTTGTTTGTTTTCTAAGCTCTTTTTTTTCCTGATAACATGATATGTATCCACAAATGCTTGTTGAATGTAGGACATATGGAGAGGTTTTCTTTCTTTCCTTAAACACTGTTCTCATGTCAATCATTTTCCTTTAAAAATTTTTTTTCCATTTAAAACTGAGAAATACAAGCTTTTTGATATTTTGGAGACTTAGAAAATTAAAAACAAACAAACAAACCTTGCCTAGAGACAATGAGGTGAATATTCTTTTTGCCAGAAGAGGGAAGCATTTGGCTGTGGAATAATGAGATGTAAATTTGCAGAGATTAGGTTTGCCTGGGCTCAAAAGTTCTGAGTCATTCAGTCTCTTCCCCTTGGTGATGTCTAAATTTTCTGTTTATATTCTTTTTTTGGGGTACCGGGGATCAAACTCAGGCCCTTGTGCTTGCGAGGCAGGTGCTGGAACCACTGAGCTAAATCCCCGGCCCTAAATTTCCTGAATAGGAGAAGCACATGATTAAAGCACTGTTGAAGGGAACTTTATTTTGATAATAAGCTTTGGTGACTTCAAACAAGGTACACTAGAATTATTAAGAATATTAACAATATGCTGTTGATGTAGTCTTCTGGTTTTATCCATTCTATAATGGTTTTAGTTTTAGTGAACTTTTTATGAAGATGTTTTTAGGAATAGAATGTTAAAACAGGCCAAGGTGAGTAGGGAAATTGCAGTGTTGGAAACAATAAAACTGGTAACATTTATGTAATCCCAATAGCCATGGTGGCAGACTGTTTAGAGACCAAGTGCCCAAGCTGCAATCCAAAACCCATTATTTATCACAAATTGCCAATACTGCAATTAAATCTGAATACTGAGGTTTTAGATTAGGAAAAAAAGCTCGTACATTATCATCTTTTGTCTTAAAAGAAAAATAAGAGGAAGGGGATTAAAAAAAAAAACAAAAAAACCAAGCCTTGGGTCTGGGGATTTAGCTCAGTGGCATCATGCCTGCCTTGCAAGTGCAAGGTCCTGAGTTTGATCCCTGATACCAAAAGCAAAACAAAACAAAACAAGCTGTGGTATGTACATGTAACCACTCCCCAAGATGATTGTGAACTACATGAATTGCAAACATTTGCTAATAAAATAAAGAAAAAACACAACACACACTCCGTAGGTTCTCCACCAGTGGCAGTGGTTTTACTTGTATTTTTTTATTGTGTTTATGCCATTATACCTGGTAGTGTATATATTCTGTGGATTAGGAGACCGGTTCTGAAAGTTTACCTTGCTGGCCCAAGGTTGCTGACAGAAATTATGACAGTTAGGACCCTCTGACACCAGAGGCCATTCTTTGTCCTGGTTGCAGTGCGTGACCTATAATTAACCATTATTTTGGTTAAGTTTGAAATTGTTTTTACATGCCAGGTTTGGTATTCAGCATCTTTACAACCTCGTATCACATTATTTCAGCTATTAAACTATTTTCTGAAAGATACTTTCTTTTCTTTCTGTCAGGGACATTTCCTGTAATTTAAACCCTACTCAACTTTGAACATCTAGTTCATATTGTCTATGTCGTCTGTGAGCCTTTTTGTTATCCCTGCACACTGTTTTTTCCTCTCCTGAATGTTTATATTCCTGTATTTCATATTATGCAATTCTTAGTAGACATTGTGTGATTTCTGGATAAGAAATGCTCAATTCATATGACTAGTGAGTAAAAACCCATTGATAATATATTTAAAAGAGTAAAAGATATGATATAGAAATATTCAGGTATAGTTAAGAAAATTGCTAGCTGTGCATGAATAGGAAAGCAAAGGATGAACGTTAAAGATTAACAAAGTAATAGGAATAGATATAATGTAGAAATATATGTACTACTTGGAACAGATAAGAAAATTGCTACTTAGATATGTGTGAGGAAGTTAGAAAACTAAGAATGGACTTTATAGATTTTTAAGGATCTGTTTAAGAAATTATTTCTTATTCGCAAAGTTCTTGACCCCCAAAGAGTGTAGGTTTGGGTTTTATTTTCCATTGGGTTTTATAGTATTGCAGCACAGTGCAATCTAAGTTAAATGGATCACTTGAGCTGTAGTAGCACCTTGGTTTACAAACTTGATCCCACATTTCTGGTTGCAAACCAATTCGAACAAGAATCAAGTCAAAATCAGTGGTTAGGTTCAATGTTGACCTTATGGGGTAATTTGATCAGTTCTTGTCCAGTACAATTTGTGACCAGCATTGTGGAGAGAATTAAGTTTGTGAACTGAGGTACCATTGTAATTTCTCTTTCAAGATAATTGCATGCCTGGGGATTTAGCTCAGTGGCACCCAATCTGCCTCATAAGTGCAAGGTCCTGAGTTCCATCCCCACCACTGCAAATGAAAAGATAATTGCAAAATATGAATGTGGGCAAAATCATAGCTTTTTACTCATCATCTGTAGAATGGGAACACCAATCCTCATTATGCTCAGTCAGTGTTTAGCTTATAATCAGATTAGATACTACATGTTTACTCTTTGTAAACTGCTAAATATATGAGATGGCAATGTATTTATAATGTACTTTTAAAAAAAGCTACACTGTATACTTCTTATGTTTTTCCTTTTTTTCTCTTAAATCCAGCTTTCCACAGGCTACAAATCAAACATTACTAGACAAGTTTAAGCATCAACATGAAGAAAATTCTTACATTGAATTTCCAGCTGTGATGGAGCCTGCTTTCATCATAAAACATTATGCTGGAAAAGTAAAATATGGGGTAAAGGTCAGTGAATTTCTCATTGAATATCCTTCAGTATAGTGGTATGTTCTCGACTGTGTCACTATCCCTTGTGCACTTGTACTATTTTCTTTGTAGTTTTTAAATGTTCTTGGTCAGTAACATTTGGAGGTGTTTTATAAGGTTACTACTAAAATTTAAGACTTACTTTTCTGTACATTACCATCTTAAGTAATGTTTCTGTTCACTTTTGCAGATTAAAATCTGATGTCAGTTCATTTTAATGAACTTTCAGTCTGAAAGAATAGATATGTATGTATCTCATAGTCACTTATTCTTTCATATAATTTGTTGAATTTCCCCCCCCTCTACCCATAAGTTCTTTTTTTTCCGTTACCGTGGCTCAAACTCAGGACCTTGTGCTTGTGAGACAGGAGGCGGAACCACTTAGCTAAATCCCCAGACCTCATAAGTTCTGACAGGAACCTCATATACATTATTAACTATTTATAAGCTTGCTCTCCTGATGAAAGTTTGAAAATCCTAACTCCTGGGGAGGGGAATCTCCATAATGTCATCCATTTCCTATTTGTAGTTGCTGAGGCGATTACTCTTTCACCACTTGTGATTTAAGTGTACCTTAAATTTAAGGTAGTTAATTTTCCAGGCAAGGCAGTGGTGATATGAAGAATAATGGAACAATATGTTTTCTCGAGTCTCATATGTCTTAGTAATATATTCACCTGTTTACTGATTTCATTTATTTAAGAAGTATTTATTGAACATAGACCATGTGTCAGACTCTGTTTAGTGTTTGGAATGAGCCAGTAATAAACCAGACATGCTCCTGACTCTCTCTCTAAACACCCTTCCCCCCACTTGGGCACACACAAATTAGTTGAGCATAGTGGCACATGTCTGTAAGGTATGTAGAAATTTCTATAAAGTACAGTACCTAGAAATCTAGAAATATGAAGATCCATCTCACTTGGGAAATGAAGGTGCTTTTTCATTATCAACACTATAGTAGTCATGGAAATAATTTGATTGTACAGTGTAGTTATTAATAGAATGGGATAGTCTTTGGAGTGGGTGGGTTAGTGTTCTTTCTGTACTGGTACTTATATTTTTGTCTTTTGGCAGGCCATTTTACCTTCCTATTTGTCAGTATATTATGTTTGAGTCTGCTTTATTAAATGTTTGAATAAAATACAATACGTTACGTACAGTGTATAAGTTAATGTCTGACACCATATTAGTGCATGATGTCTCTAAATATTAACTAATAATTCCATGCTGGTGGTTATTTGGGTTTAAAAGCTCTTACTGAAGTTCACTAAATATCTGTATGTATATATATATATATATTTTTAAAATTTGTTTTTGATATATGGATATTTAGAGATGAATCAAAGATTAAGACTCCCAGCTCATTTCTCTTTTCCTTTATTCCCAGAACAAAGAAGTAGTAGAAAAAGCTCTAAAGGTAGTAGAAAAAGCCCCATCTGACTTCAGTGATATACTAGGAATACTCCTCATGGAATTCTGAATTAGAAGTATTCTGTGAAGCTGTATTAAGCCAGAGTGATTAACTCTATCAACTTTCCATTGACAGGACAAAATCCCTGTCATACATAATTTGAAGGAGAAATGGTTTGTTTTGGCTCAAGATTTTAGAAGTTTCAGCCCATGGTGAGCTGGATCAAAGACATCCAGGAGGCAGAGAGCAAGGGAGAGCCAGACAAAAAGGGGCCAGGGACCAGATAGATACAGGTCTCATGGTCACACTCCCATGACTGACCCAGACAACCCCCAGGAGTGTGCTTTATTAATCTCCTTGGCCTCTCAGGCTAATCCAAGTTGATAGTCAGGATTAACTATCGCATATACTCACTGCAATTTAGTCTTTTCAATTAGGGTATACAGTTTTAAAAGTATAGTCCGTATTTAGTTTTTTTTTTTTTTTTGAGACAGGGTCTCACTATGTAGTTGAGACTGACCTGGAACTCACTATGTAGCCCAGGCTGGTCTTGAACTCACAGAAATCCTCCTGCCTCAGCCTCCTGAGTGCTGGTATTACAGGGGTGCACCACCACGGCCAGCTGTAATCAGTATTTAGACTATATAGAACCCTCTGGACTCTTATTCCTGGTGTTTTAGCTTCCTGCCCTCTTCATTTTTTTACAGAGTATTTTAATCTATTTTCTCATGTTCTATAACCCTCTAACATGTATACTTTACAGTCTTGAGGTCATTTTAACCAGTTTTAAAATTCTGTATGCTAAGGCAAGTATGTTGCTGCACACTGATACTCACAGCACTTAGGCTGAGCCAGGAGGATTGCATTTTGAGGCCAGCCTGGGGTCATATAATGAGTTCAGAACTATCTGGGAGAATGTAAAGACCCTGTCTGAAAACAAACAAAAAAAAACCCTCCAAAATTGCATGGTAATAATATTTAAATAGAAGGTACAAAGGAAAAATGTGTATGCTGAAATAAAATTATTATTATAAGGCCTGTGGATTTAGCTCAGTGGTGCCACGTCCTGCCTCACAAACGAAAGGTCCTGAGTTAGATCCTTGGTACCACCTCCCCCCCAAAAAAAATTACAGTAAAAAGCAAATTGACTTTATTTTTTTATTTTTAAATTATTTTTTGGTTTTTCTGAGAAAGGATCTCACTACCGCCTGTGTTATCTTCCTGCCTTAGCCTTCTGAGTTTTGGGATTACAGTCATGTTCCATCATACTCAGGATCACATCAACTTTACCCTCAAATACACCCCCCCATTCAAACACACTTATCCCACTATCTGTGCCACTTTGTAAAGGAGTTCTGGGCGTCCTTTTCCATGAATGTCTCTAGTTAAGCTATAATGGCTGTGCTCATGTCCTGAATCTGTTAAAAATCTCTTTACCTTTCATGGTCATCTTGACTTGGGGAAGAGCCAGAAATCGTATGATGCCTAATCTAGTAAAGAAGTTTTTGGTGAAATGTTTTTATGAGTCCGCCTTTCTCTTGGATGGCACTCAGCCACAGCATTCACTATATTTCTAATCACTCATAAAGAAATTCTATGCAAATGTAGTATAGTTGTGCTGTGGGTAGCTGTGTTTGATCCCTGCACTTCCACTTACTGTGCATAGGGGCATAAAGGTATTAATCTAATTTCTTTTCTTTTTTCGTTTTTTGAGACAGGGTCTCACTGTGTAGTTGAGACTGACGTGGAAGTCACTGTGTAGCCCAGGCTGTTCTCAAACTCACAGCATCCTCCTGCCTCAGCCTCCCTAGTGCTGGGATTACAGGCGTGAGCCACCACGCCTGGCTGTTAATATAATTTCTGCATTCTCATACCCTAATTCATCAGGAAGTCCTTTGCCTTTATCTCCTAAACATACCCTGAATATGATAATTCTTTGCTATTTATTTTATTACCTACCTACCCCAAGCCACTGACAGATGGTTCTTCTGTGGTTAGCACAGTATTTGTTCTCCCTTTTTCTATTTCTTATGTATACTCTTTTCTTCTTATACAACAGCAGATGTTCATAAAACACCAGTTGGCTGCTGTCATTACCTAGTTGCTTTGCTTTACGTTTACATGAAGTATAATAAAATTCTTAACTCAGTCTAACAGAGCCTAAATGTGCTATTATTTGCCTAATTTTCTACCAGTTACCTTTTCACCACAATTCTCCAGCCCCTGGCCTTATTGTTTTTCTCTTAACTTGGTCAATTTATTGCTACAAAGAGTAGCTGATATGCTCATTTGCTTGCAGTGCTCTTCCTGGTCTTATGTTGGCTCCTTTTCGTTTTCTGTCCATAACCATTTTCTGTAATACATCCCTTTGGAAAGGCTGACCCTAATCATTACCTAAAAAGCTGTGCTAAAATTGTGAAATATTCTAACATATGTATTACAGAATTCAGTACTTTTAGAATCAGCTGGTACTTTATAGAAGATAGCTGTTTCATTTAGTTACCTAGAAGAAAGTTCACTTTTATTATCTTTATTCAGCCACACATCAAATATGTCATCTGTCATCCTCTTGATATTAGCATCTTTTCCCAAATAACTGTTAGTACTTTTCTGAAACAGGATTTCCGGGAAAAAAATACAGATCATATGCGGCCAGACATTGTAGCTCTTCTGAGAAGTAGCAAGAATGCATTTATCTCTGGGATGATTGGAATTGATCCTGTGGCTGTTTTCCGGTGGGCAGTTCTCCGAGCCTTTTTCAGAGCTATGGTTGCTTTCAGGGAAGCTGGAAAAAGACATATTCAGAGAAAAACTGGTAAGCAGTAGTTACTGGTATTTTACCATGCTTCATCTTGTCTTTTTTTTTTTTTTGATACCGAGGATCTAACTATGGACTTTGTGCTTGCGAGTCAGGTGGCGGAACCACTGAGCTCAATCCCTGGCTCATCTTGTCTTTTTTAATGTCTTATTCACAAGGGATAGCATCATAGTAATTTTTATTTTGTTTTCTTCTCATACTCTGATATGTTTCCAAACTTATAAGTTGAGTAAATTTTATGACTAAATATGTATATTTTGCATATGTAGAGGTATATTTTTATTAATAAATAGTGATAAAAATAATGATAGAAAGTACTTGGTTGCTACACAATAAATCATTGGTATGACTTTGAACAAAAATTAAAGTGATAATTATATAATGATTTAGGATTTAATTTTTGTGCTTTTTTCCTCATGCATAGTTTTCACTATAATGAAATATGGCATAAATTAGGAGAGAGGGTGGGTGGAAGTAATGTATTAAAGTGAAGGGAATCCTGCTTCATTGTCATATCTTTAATTTTTGTGATTTTGAGCCAAATTCAATGAGTAGCTGGATAGAAGAATTTTTTTCTGTAAAAGTCAGTATTCTTTAAAAATTATTACTATTATTTAAAATTATTAAATATTAAATAATAAAATTATTACAAATGCATTATCTGACAAGATAAATTAATAGGTCAGATAAAATAGGTAAAGCATCAGTTAAATACTCATTTTTTCTCTTACCCTTAGATTATTGAATTTTCACTTTGAAATTTTGAAAAGGATGCCCCCCCCATGCCTCTTAAACCAACATCATGAGCATGTGTGATCTGTTGGAAACTGAACTGTTGCTTGCTACAGCTCTAGCTATAGACAAACCATTGCAGTAAAAGTTTAATATCAATTTTTAATTATTTGAAATCAATAAATATACTTGGGAGATAAAGAATATTGAATTTAGTTTTTGTTTTTAGATTGTATTATATGTGAAGTGGTCTTCATAGACAGGGATAAATATAATGTATTGAACAAATAAAAAGATTATATGAAACTTGGTTTTGCCTTTTACAAAGTGGTTCCTGAAAGGGTATGCTTTCTTAAAATACTTTATGGAGAGTTTTTTTCCTTTTAAGGTGCTTTCTTTTTTTTTGAGACAGGGTCTCACTATATAGTTGAGACTGACCTGGAACTCACTAGCCCAAGCTCGTCTCGAACTCACAGTGATCCTCCTGCCTCAGTCTCCTGAGTGCTGGGATTACAGGCGTGTGCCCCCACGCCTGGTTTAAGGTGCTTTCTTATTTATCATACAGTTTTTTAGTAACACCATTCAGAATTGATGGTATCCTCTAAGATGTTATTGACTATCAAGAAAAGCTTTTCTTGGGCTGGGGATTTAGCTCAGTGGTGCCGCCGCCTGCCTGCAAGTGCTAGATCCTGAGTTTGATCCCCAGTACCAAAAAAAACCCAAAACTTTTTTTTTGTATTTACTTTTTAAAAAGTCAATTTCTGCAGTTTCACATTGTCTTTATGTTCCTTTGGCATTTGAAATTTGTTCTTTTTTGGCAAGCTAGTTTTATGTTTATTATTATACATTTGGGAAATGATAAAATTTATTTCCATTTAATCTATTTTTTTTTTGAGTTATGCAGAGCTTCTGTGAAATCACATTTTTGGAAATTCTTTGATTTTAGAATATGATATGCATATTGCAAATTCATAAAGTGAGCATAGAGAGCTCAATAAAGTAACACAATGTAAAAACACCCCTGAAATTACTACTTAGGAGGAAAAGTGGAGCCTTGCCAATGCCCCAGAATTCTCCTTTGTATAAACTTTGTAAACATTTTACTTCTTTTAAAGGAAAAGAAAAATACTGGTTAATTTTTGTATTGAGATCTAACTGAAGATTTACTTCAGAAAACAAATTTCTATTAATACATTCATGAGGGGGCCATAAATTTTTGTATGTCTCATTGCCAGGTGGCTCTGAACCATTGGTGGTACATGCACAATAATCCCATTGTGGGGGACATGGGACAGTTGTGTGTACCACTAGCGGTTAAAGCCAGCAGGAACACCTTAGAAAATACATTCGTGTTAATGACACCATTTGTTCTAGCATTTTGCCTCCTCCACCTCATCACTTTCTTTCATGAGTTTAAAATAAAAAGAAATCATATAATTAGAACCTTATAGTACTGCAAAATAAAAACTAATAGATTAATTTAAAATGAGATTACATAGTAGATAAAGAACTTTTATAATGTTCATAAATAGTACACAGATATTAAGATGAAATATAGGTAAGAGATTATTTAAGCAGAATCAAGATATGGCAGACAAATAGCAACGGAGACCAGATCTAGAATGCAAATAAGAAATCAAAGATACTACTTCTAATGAAGAAAAACAATGCAGTTTATTTTCCTTTCTTATGAAAATCTTTTGAAAATGTTCAGTGGACCTCTTAGCTGATTATCAAGAAACTTCCTAACCGAACAACAACAAAAATCCTTCCCCACTGGTTTTTTCAAGGAATTTCCTGGCATTCTCGTCTCTTAATCAGACCAGCTGAATACAACTGAGAGAATTGAATTAAATACTTCTTTTGTTATTTTTGTTTTGTGCAGGCTTCCAATTTAATACCATTTTAAGGTCTTTAAATAAAAATTGTTTTAACTACTGTTTTTGAGAAAAAATTTAGTATATACAGTTTTAGAATATATATTATGGTGATTGGACTACTGTATTTGAAGCCAGAAAATACTCTTAGTAGAGTCACATAAATAGGTTGCAAGTTGTAGTGGATCTGCAGGTTGGCTCTGCAGGGGGTAGAATGAGAAGTTGTAATGATTGTGTGTGCTCAGCAGTTAGAAAATGGAGAGCAACTGTACCTTCAAGGGAAGGCAACCGCCTGTTACTGTTAAGGGGATATATTCCTGTCCTTATTCCAGTAGAGTCACATATAGGTTGCAAGTTGTAGTGGATCTGCAGGTTGGCTCTGCAGGGGGTAGAATGAGAAGTTGTAATGATTGTGTGTGCTCAGCAGTTAGAAAATGGAGAGCAACTGTACCTTCAAGGGAAGGCAACCGCCTGTTACTGTTAAGGGGATATATTCCTGTCCTTATTCCTGCACTCTCTCTATACCCCTGAACTTAATAGCTTTGTAAAGATAGTAAGGTAATTCTACAACCTCTGGATTCACTTCAAACCTGCTCTAATTCTTTCACTTATCTAATCCTCTTGTTCTAAGTCGAACCCCCCATCCTAAATGGTAAAGATGCCATATTGAAAAGAATATTCACTGCAAACATACTATGAGCTGCTTCTTGAAATTAATCTAATTCACATGAGTTAAAGGTGATACATTAATGACTACCATAAGTGGTCAGTTGGCAAGCTGTGCCTGATCCTATTGGGCTGCTGAATGTATCAATTGGGACAAAGAGTGGTGATTGATTTAAAGAGTTGTTTTCTCTGATATTATGAAAACGAGAATGTCTATGAGTCAT